ACTCCAAGGTGTGTAGAAGGGCAAAAATAACAAGATTTAAATTAAAATTGTTTTTTTAAAATCTACAGGTAAACCCAAAAGCAGCAGAATGAGAACTGTACAGATTCAATAGCCACAGAATATTGAACATTGAAGAGGAAGGACATGAAAAACTGAGGGATAGAAATGCAATGAAATTGAATATCCACCTCCCACACCCCCAAAGAAGGCATATCTAAATTACTGGAATAAGATCATTCCACACTGAATAGAAGCACTCATGGCTGCAATCTAATATCCCCTTGTTGTAGTATATATGCAGAGATACTCTGTCAACACTGTGCATCCCCCATGCATAACAGCAACACTGGGTAACACATGTCAATAACTGGGTGCTGTTGAGCAGTCTGCAATGCACAACACTTCCACCACTGTCAGCAGCACACACCCATTGCACTGTTGCAAATAGTTAACTCAGCGCACATAGGCTAATTTCCACATGCATATGTCACTAGCAAGATGCAGACTAATTGTTAATATACCTCAGAAACAGCTTGCTTTGTCATACATGATAGGCATGACATGTATCATAGGCATGAACCTGCTCCGCAACTAGGTTCAGTCCCTCGGATGACTCTTTGAAAGTTCAAACCAAATAGCTGCAGCAGATTCACCACTCCCTGCCACTAATCATCATAAAAGGAGCTGGGATTCTGAGGGCTGTTCTAAATGTAATATTGTATACATATAGATGAAGAAAAAAATTATACCCACTAAGACTTCCACATGTTCAACTTCTTATGTTGCAGTGAGACCATGGTACTTCCATCAGTACATTCTTATCAGTGCAACAACAAAGCCCCTAAATTGTATTACAATATGTAGCTCATGCGCTGCTATTTATAAAACAGCCATGTACAATTGACCCTCCACATTTGCGGCTTTGACTTTTGTTTTATTTTGAATATATGTGGGTTTGATTAGTAGGTTTTCTCGAGTGGTAGAAATTTATTTCAGCAAAACAGTGTCTCTCAAGTCCTCTGTGTGATATGTCTGAAACCATGGCGGAAAAATTCTTCAGTGTTTCCCTTTGAAATGCTTCTGATTTTGGTTTGCAGATGTTTTGGAAGTAGTACTTCTTTTCAGCCACTTGAGCAGTTTTATGAAGACATTAATAATTCTTGGTGTGGAAAGATGATCTTCTAGCCATTTTGAAGTGGAGCAGAAGAACATTCTTTCTCCATAGGTAAATTTCCATGCGTTTGAATAAAAATCATTCTGTTCTGCCTTGGTTATCTTGAAACTTCATATTAGGGATTTTCTCAATAGGGTTGGATGAGAAGGAGGAACTGGAGTCAAGAAGAAGCTCATCCTCTGGAGCTAATTCTTTCTCCTAGGAACAAACCTTTTTCAATGGCAAACGTAGTCCCCATTTCTGTACTCCACTGCAGAGAAGTGAGAGCTGGCATCCTGTCCAACATCTGTCTGTGTGAGTCTTTCTTTGGGGTGGGGGAATATCATTGCAGAGGTAGGAAATCTTCACTGACCTTGTTGAAAGGCCAAATTTTCTTCAAACCTACCTTTTACCTACTGCAGCTTCTCCTCCCAGATGTGAATTTTCTGGCCTTGCTAAATTGGGGGAGCAGCCTAGAAGAGTCCAGCTATGTTTCTGTAGCTGGACCCGAAGGACCGTCATCTTTCAGGACCTCTGGAGGATCCCTGAAGAGGTCCAGGAAGATGCTCTATGCCTACATGGGGGAGAAAGTGAGAGGGGAGGCATTTCATAATTCCATCTGTGCAGATACCTCTCTCAGTCCAGGATCTTAGCCTAGATTTAAAGTATGTGCTCATTCTCCAAGACATTTGTAGTGAACACACACACACACAAATGGAGAATGAAAAAGAGAAAGGGAGAATGTGCATGTAAAAGAGAAGTGTACTATAAAGTGATCATAGAATGTCATAATAATTTGCCAAATGCTCAAAATTGCTGTATGTGCTAGAGTGAAGTATATTGGGTAAAGCACTACTACTGGGTCGCACTGAACTTTTCCTTGCCTGTATAGCATTCCAGAGGACCTTATCACATGGGGGAAATCCTGTACAGAAATAGGATTTAAAAGGTGGGGAAAACCCGCAAAAGTGGGTAGATTTTTACACACATCGCTTTTCAACTGTGCTTGACTCAAATGGAAAGTAGTCAAAAGCTGCTTCTTTTTACTTTTGGGATTTTCCGAAAGTAAAAAGAAGCAGCTTTTCACTATTTTCTGTTCGGGTTAAACACAGTTTAAAAACGACGTCTAAAAATCTACCCACTTTTGTAGAGTTTTCCTATTTAAAATCCCATTTATGCACGGGATTTCCCCTGTGTGATAAAGTCCAAAGATAAGAGAGTTCCCAGCAAGGACTTGATCACGAGACTCTCCATTCATCTTTCATTTTAAGGC